CCAGAGAGAGACCAGAGAGAGACCAGAGAGAGAGCAGAGAGAGACCAGAGAGAGACCAGAGAGAGAGCAGAGAGAGACCAGAGAGAGACCAGAGAGAGACCAAGAGAGGGACCAGAGAGAGACCAGAGAGAGACCAGAGAGAGACCAGAGAGAGACCAGAGAGAGACCAGAGAGAGACCAGAGAGAGACAAGAGAGAGACCAGAGAGAGACCAGAGAGAGACCAGAGAGAGACCAGAGAGAGACCAGAGAGAGAGCAGAGAGAGACCAGAGAGAGACCAGAGAGAGACCAGAGAGGGACCAGAGAGAGACCAGAGAGAGACCAGAGAGAGACCAGAGAGAGACCAGAGAGAGACCAGAGAGGGATCAGACAGCGAGACAAGAGAGAGACCAGAGAGAGAGACCAGAGAGAACAGAGAGAGACCAGAGAGAGACCAAAGAAAGACCAGAGAGACCAGAGAAACCAGAGAGGGACCAGAGAGAGACCAGAGAGAGACCAGAGAGAGACCAAATAGAGACTAGAGAGAGACCAGAGAGAGACCAGCGAGAGAGACCAGAGCGAGACCAGAGAGAGAGAGAGACCAAAGAGAGAACATAGAGAGACAGAGAGAGACCAGAGAGAGACCAGAGAGAGACCAAAGAGAGACCAGAGCGAGACCAGAGCGAGACCAGAGAGAGACCAGAGAGAGAGAGAGACCAGAGAGAGACAGAGAAACCAGAGAGAGGCCAGCATCTCTGTAAGTGACCATTGAGCCCCTGTGTGTGTCTCTCTCTCTCTGTGTGTGTGTTTGTGTGTGTGTTTGTCTGTCTGTTTGTGTGTATGTGTGTGTGTCACTATGAGTCACGGCTACAGCAGATCTCTCTCCTGGTTTGCAGAGTCTGAGAGGATTGTGGAGGGACGGCCTGGGATTCATTTGCGTGTCGTGTTGTTTGAAGTCTGCTTTGTTGTGTGTTTTTTCCGAGAGTCGAGGCTGTTGTGATATTCAGTTATGCACAAACACACGTCTGACCTAAATCCTAAAGTCAACTCCCCCACACTTTTAATCTACGTTTAGGCTTTGATATAATTGCATTTTTATTCATACTTTTTTTTCTCCTCTCTTTGCTTTTTCCAACTCTTGTTTGACCAAACTGCGTATTTTTTGTTAGCATTTCTCTGTTCTAGTTTTTTTTCCAAAGCAATTATCATTATCATTTCAAAAGCTATGTGTTTATTTGATTTGTGTCTGCTTTTTCTTTGCCCGGTCGCACCACACCATAGTACTAAATTCATTTCAGGTCTGGATGTGTACATTGAGCTCCGTTAACAGGTGGGAGGGGTTAACTCCTTTTGCAGATTGAAACGATTGGATCTGAGTTTACCGTGACGTATGTAATGAGCCCGAGTGACTTGTTAGCATTTAGCATTTAGCCTAGCTTTAGCCATCTCCTTTGCCGCTAACGGAGCCCGTGGGGAGTAGCGCCACAATCTTTGCAGCGATTACATTTGCTAAACATTTCTCTTGCTCCGGCTTCAGTTTCCTGATAGAACCAGACCGGATTACTTTACTATCGCATTCTTCGCCAAACTACAACCTTCCCGTTCGGTGCAAACTCTTGACGTCGCCCACATCTAACAACAACACCCGCCTCCTGTGCTCTCTGATTGGTCGGATGGAATTCAACTGATTGTGATCACAAACACAGGGACCAGACCCAGACGCTACATGCAGGAAATGTTGATTGAGCGGAGTGTACGGACGGATAAGGCCAGGCTAGCCTTTTCTCTATCCTGAGATTTTAAAATGTGTCAAAATGTCAACACTGAATCCTTTTTTAACACAGATTAGGAGAAGTGGAGAAGAGTTACAAATTGCAGGAGAATTGTCGGAGTAATTACATGTTTAATGCAAAATAATAACATTTACTGTACTGAAGAAATACAATGTTGAGCACTGTCACAATTTGGGATGGATTTTTCTTAAGTTTGGTGTGCGTTTGGGAAGTGATCGTAGGTAGAACTGTGGTGTTGGCGGGGTATGCGCGCTCCAAGTCAACAAAATACCTCTGTCCTTGTCCTTTCAAAATGACCTTTTATGGGTCAGCTCACTCCTGGTTTAGTCATGTGACATTTAAGACCTATTATGGACTTTTTAAATGCCACCAAGGACAACGAAGAGGAGAGGCCGGGTTTGGTTCCAGAACTTCAAAAATCCAGTCTTTGTTGAAGGATAACTATAGAGTAAATGGAATCTCCAGGCTGCGTTTTCAGACCAAGAAGCAGAATAATGAGGGAAAATCTGTCAAAATATGTTACAGTTTAAATGCACATTTGAAAGGTTTTCTGGACACTCAAAGATGCCTGAGCACCAGAACTCCCAGAGCAGTAAAATTGACGGCCTTTAGTTTTGGAAGCGTAATTACTCAGTATTTTTGGTCTTTCAAACTTTGGGACTTTTGCTGCGTCTATGTGTAATTTATTTTAGTCTTTCTCAGCAACCTATGAAGAGGGAGCCCTGGTTACTATAACAACACAGCATCATTAGCAGTTAGCATTTAGCCTTTAGCATATAGCCTTTCAACGAAAAGTCTTAGCACTAAGTAAAAGTGAATAAAGGTATAAAAAAAATCTTATACTATACTTAGATGGGTGAAAAACTGTTTTGGGGGAGTTTCTTCTACATCCATTGGTTTGAATGGGAGCAGTCAAAATGACGGCACTGGATGTTGCAGTAATTTCATAATTCGGGCGTTCTGCTCTCCCAAAATTCCATCCACTGAGCGGCGCTGTGATCAAAAAATGACACTGTTTGTTGCCCAGTTCACTTCCGGTTGATTTCATACAATGGCGAATATGGCTCACGAAAACAACAAGCGATTGACAGTGCCTGAATTGCGTGAAAGGTTGAAGCGAAAGGGTATTTGCAGTGTGGGAAAACGAAAGGAGGAATTTTTGTTGCTAGTTCAACGAGCGGATGGTGTTTATGAAGATTTAGAAGAAGATGACAGCGAGCAGAGTGAACGAAAACGGCTGTGTGTGCGAGTGACAGATGGTAACAATGAGAATGAAGTTCAGCTAAGAGGGAAGAATGTGAATTGGACGGATGATTTGCGCGATATGCCACTAGTTAGATACGGGAATGTATTTGCATACAGAAAATGACGAAAACACTCAACCATTTAAAGAAAATGCGCCGGGCATAGAGAACCGGAAGTTGCGAAGGCAAGTGTTACCCATAATGCAACGCAAAATTCAGTCGCTCCCCCGCCCATCGGATGGAATTTTGGGAGAGCAGAACGCCCGAATTGTGGGAGTCCTTGTTTTTATAAAAAGTGAATATAAGTGACTATAAAAGGTTTGAGAGCGGACGTTACCAAAGCAACTATTGTCACCTGTAAATTGTGACAATTTGAGGTAAAAAACTGAGAAAAGTTGTAATTATTTGTTTTATTTTCTGCCAAAGTTCTCTCTCTTATACATTTTCTGATTAGCTGTGAGCAAAATAGTTAAAAGTCTCTCTCTGGTCTCTCTCTGGTCTCTCTTTGTTCTCTCTCTGGTCTCTCTCTAGTCTCTCTTTGTTCTCTTTCTGGTCTCTCTCTGGTCTCTCTCTGGTCTCTCTCTGGTCTCTCTCTGGTCTCTCTCTGGTCTCTCTCTGGTCTCTCTCTAGTCTCTCTCTGGTCTCTCTCTGGTCTCTCTCTGGTCTCTCTCTGGTCTCTCTCTAGTCTCTCTTTGTTCTCTTTCTGGTCTCTCTCTGGTCTCTCTCTGGTCTCTCTCTGGTCTCTCTCTGGTCTCTCTCTGGTCTCTCTCTGGTCTCTCTCTAGTCTCTCTCTAGTCTCTCTCTGGTCTCTCTCTGGTCTCTCTCTGGTCTCTCTCTGGTCTCTCTCTAGTCTCTCTTTGTTCTCTTTCTGGTCTCTCTCTGGTCTCTCTCTGGTCTCTCTCTGGTCTCTCTCTGGTCTCTCTCTGGTCTCTCTCTGGTCTCTCTCTAGTCTCTCTCTAGTCTCTCTCTGGTCTCTCCTCTGGTCTCTCTCTGGTCTCTCTCTGGTCTCTCTTTGTTCTCTCTCTGGTCTCTCTCTCTGGTCTCTCTCTGGTCTCTCTCTGGTCTCTCTCTGGTCTCTCTCTGGTCTCTCTCTGGTCTCTCTCTGGTCTCTCTCTGGTCTCTCTCTGGTCTCTCTCTGGTCTCTCTCTGGTCTCTCTCTGGTCTCTGTCTGGTCTCTCTCTGGTCTCTCTTTGTTCTCTCTCTAGTCTCTCTCTGGCCTCTCTCTGGTCTCTCTTTGTTCTCTCTCTGATCTCTCTCTGGTCTCTCTCTGGTCTCTCTCTCTGGTCTCTCTCTCTGGTCTCTCTCTGTCTCTCTCTGGTCTCTCTCTGGTCTCTCTTGTCTCTCTCTATCTCTCTCTCTGTCTCTCTCTGGTCTCTCTCTGGTCTCTCTCTGGTCTCTCTCTGGTCTCTCTCTGGTCTCTCTCTGGTCTCTCTCTGGTCTCTCTCTGGTCTCTCTCTAGTCTCTCTCTGGTCTCTCTCTGGTCTCTCTCTGGTCTCTCTCTGGTCTCTCTCTGGTCTCTCTCTGGTCTCTCTGTCTCTCTTTGGTCTCTCTCTGGTCTCTCTCTGGTCTCTCTCTGGTCTCTCTCTGGTCTCTCTCTGGTCTCTCGTTCTCTGGTCTCTCTCTGGTCTCTCTCTGGTCTCTCTCTGGTCTCTCTCTAGTCTCTCTTGGTCTCTTTCTGGTCTCTCTCTGGTCTCTCTCTGGTCTCTCTCTGGTCTCTCTCTGTTCTCTCTCTGGTCTCTCTCTGGTCTCTCTCTGGTCTCTCTCTAGTCTCTCTCTGGTCTCTCTCTAGTCTCTCTCTGGTCTCTCTCTGGTCTCTCTCTGGTGGTGATGTCTTTGTGAAAAAGGTGTTGGTTACATATCTGGCAACCTGAGTCAGGGAGAGTGGGAGAGGCTGCAGTACCACCTTTGTCCACATTTGTACATTCTGCTCCTTTAAAGTAGACCGTGGCGCCTCGAGGGTTAGCATGTCAGGGGTGTTGTGTGTCTTACTCGCAGACCGCCGCCACGCCGCTCTCGCTGGTCACGTTCTCCTGCTGGTTGTCCAGACTCTGTCCGAGCTCCAGGACGCACTCGGAGAAGCCTCTGTAGGCGCTTTCACACCGCACGTCCACGGCCTGTCCCCGCGCCGCCACACACACCAGCACTGCAACATTTACATAACAAACACTGCATTTCATTCTCACACTCTCATCACCAGAGCCGCCGCCGCCGTCCTCCTGATGGAAGAGCGCTCGTTTGGAGAAAGGAGGAACATCCGAGGCACTAGAGCAGGGGTGTCCAAACTTTTGAGTAAGAGGGGCCACTTTAGCTACGACCCTGATTGTAAAACTGTTGTGACTGGATTCAGGCTGTTTGAGGCTTTACAATTAGCATTAGCATTGGCTGTTGTTGTGTCCTTGGGCAAGACACTTAACCTCTGGGAACAGCAGGTGCCACAGTGGGGGCGGCTGCGGCTGTAAAGTGCCAAGCGGGCGTAGTGTCCTTAGGCAAGACACTTCCCCCACATTAGAATGAGTCTGGTGTGTGAGTAAGTAAGTAAGTAAGTAATCTTTATTTATATACCGCCTTTCACAGACCAGAGTCACAAAGCAGTTTACAGTTGTTATTTTTGGGCACTTGTCCTCTCACTCCACACAGAGATGGTGTGTGTGAATGGTTGGTGGTGGTGGGAGGGGCTGATGGCACAGACTGGTTGCCTCGCTTCTGTCAGTGTGCCCCAGGGCAGCTGTGGCTATAGTAGTTTCACCACTGTGTTTGGAGTGAATGAATGATGTGAAGCGTCTTTGAGTGTCAAAAAAGCGCCAAATAAGAATTGTTATTATTAAAATTAGCCACATTAGCGCCTATTTGGGATGTTGCGACATATTCACAAATTAAAAGTCAGTAAATACAGATAAAGTTAACAACGTGATTCCAAAGGTTCTCAGCTTTACAACATAACATGACTACATTGGTGGAGCTTAAGTTGGCTGGACTAACACTGTCAAGGCGCCTCAGTGATTACTTTGTGTTGGTGAGGCAGAGGGCCAGATGAAATGACACAGCGGGCCGCATTTGGCCCTCAGGCCTCAGTTTGGACATGCCTACACAGAGTAAAGTAAAGGAAAACCCTTTGGTGAGCCTTCTTCAGGGCAGGTCAGAGGTCATACAGGGCACCAGGTGTGGTTTAAATACAATCAGCACCTGTCACATGATCTAGGCAGGATAATAACAACTATTTTAATGTGTAGATCATGTGACAGGTACTGATTACATACATGCATCAAGAGTTCCGAGCTTCCGGCTCGATGGCACGGCATTGTGGGAAGTTTTCTCAAAAAGGTGGGCGTAAAATCACGCTGCCGTATTGGATTACATGTTGTGAACGTGATATCTCTTTCTTGTTTCCAAACCAAAGATTGTTTTAATAGCTAAGAAATTCACCAATTTCAGACATTTTGAAGGTAAGGTAAAGATTTTTTCATTTAACAAAAAAGGTTTTAGATGTAAACAATCTTTACCTTACCTTCTAAATGTCTGAAATTGGTGATTTTTTTAGCTGGAAATAAGAGAGAAAGTTCACGTTCACAACATGTAATCCAATACGGAAGCGTGATTTGATGCCCACCTTTTTGAGAAAACTACTAATAATAATGTAAGTAATCTTTATTTATATAGCGCCTTTCACAGACCAGAGTCACAAAGCGGTTTACAATTGTTAATTTTGGGCATTTGTCTCTCACTCCACACAGAGATGGGAGCAGGGTCAGAACAGGAGGCACATGCCAGAACTATTGTACATGTTTTTAGTGGTAGGGGAAACCGGAGTGCCTGGAGGAAACCTACGCAGACACGGGGAGAACATGCAAACTCCACTCAGAAAGGCCCTGGTCCGACCGGGATTCAAACCCAGGACCTTCTTGCTGAAAGGAGAGAGTGCTATCCACTCAGCCACCATACCGCCCATGTAAATGCTTTGGTTAAATATATCACTTTTTTAGACACTCAAACCTGCTTCACATGTCATTCTTTCTCTCCAAACACAGTGGTGAAAAACTACTACTGTAGCCACAGCTGCCCTGGGGCACACCGACACAAGTGAGGCAACCAGTCTGCGCCATCGGCCCCTCTGATACCATGACCACACACACACACACACACACCGGACTCATTCTAATGTGGGGGAAGTGTCTCTCCTAAAACACAGAACATTCACAGAGTTAATGCCTGAGTGGCTGAAACACGATCCCTTGTCTTTAGTGCCTCGGATTTTTTTTTCTTTTTATCAAATGTTTGTCTCTGCGGATCCTGAGAGGACAAGAAAAAATGTATTCATCTCAGAAAAATGCATCCACTGAAAAACATGACTGAAATGAAAATGTCTTATCGTTATTAGCAATAAGAAACGACCACTTACATTTTTATAATCTGCTATAAGACTTGTTATAGAAATGTCTTCAAACCAGTCAAATAATCAGATAAAAAATATACATATATGGTCCTGGATCTACAGCCCGTCTATCCCTCAGAAACTGGACCCTTCTGATTAAAAGCCAGAAGGGTCTAAGGACAGAGATGATCCAGGACACTCCACATTCAACCACATGTATGGACATTTATCAACATTTATGGACATTTATCAACATTTATAGACATTTATCACCCACCACTAATGGACCAATGGCTCTATGTGTTTGTTAGCATTTCCTATGATTCTCTGATCTGTGTTGGCGAATCGACAGTCCTCAGAGATAGAGCTACTGTCGTGATTTAGGGCTACACACAAAATCTACATTAAGACAATGACCTGAGAATCAAGCCATTTTCATTGTGGAACAAAGCTGGATCCTTGCATCTCTCCACAACATGTTAATAATTTGGAACAGCATCAAACAAACAGTCAGATGTAAAAGGAGGCATAAGTTCTATAGCACTCTTCACACCAGTGTCTCTTTGAGCTCATAATTATCCCAAAGATATTAAGATCGCATTGATGTATACGCAGCAATTACGGTGAACTATTTCTGGCTCCAGATTATGTTATGCCTTCACAAAGCCCACGTAATGTAATGTGATAGTGTATAGTTGTAATATGCGGCTGTGGTGGGTGTGTAGCAGAAACAGCGCGCTACTATCACGCATTTTCTCCACTCATTCATATAAACACACACTTCTGCTCCAACATCACCGTTTATCCAGTGATGGAGGAATCTTAATTTTGGGGGAAAAAACACAAAAAAACGGACATTTGCAACGTTTTCCAGGCTAATAATCATGAACATGGATTTCTCACCTAAGGCAATCGCTACAACACCTCCTGTATTCTTCTGCGGAGACATATCATCCCATGTCAGAGAGGCGCTGCTGGCAGAGGAGAGCCGGGCTGGACGCTCACGGACGCGGACGCATGAGTGCCACAGGGTCCGGGTGGGAGTGGGGGACAGAGGAATGCGGTGGATGTAAAAACGGGGCCCCGATAGTGACGCGATGCCTGCCCCCCGGTGCTGCGGCTGAGCTCATGCCCACTTTGAGAGCTCCATCAGCGGATACAGCGCGCGCAGTGGGGCGGGGAGAGCGCAAGAGAGAGCAGGGGAGGGGTGGAGCGGAGGAGACATGTTGGGAGTGGAAGGATCAGGAGTGCGTGGGTGTCGAACAGGGCTGCGGAGTACTTACAAAATGTTCGAAAATATAACTGAATTCATGACTTAAAATGTGTTTTGCTTAGTATTCTGTTACTTTGGAAAAATTAGTGCCTGTATTCCGAATTCTTAGAATACTTTAATCTATGGTTGAAATTGTTTTAAATTATTACCTAGATTTATATTATAATTATTGTTTATTTATCGAACTTAAAAAGGTAAATTTCTAAATATTTATATATATATATATATATATATATATATATATATATATATATATATATATATATATATATATATATAATTGAAAACGTACATACACATATATGTATCTGTAATAAAAAAAAATAAAAGAATAATAATAAAACAAAAAGAAGATAAGAATTTTATTTTTATAATAATACAAATAAAAATGAACAACATTTCAAGATAAGATTATCTTATCTTACAGTTCCAATATGGCCGCCGTTGCCGCTGCTTCCTCTAACGCCGCGTGCCCCCTCCCTCCCTCCCTTCTCTCCCCTCCTGCCCCTCCCTCCCCTTCCCACCCCTCCCTTCCTGCAGGCAGCATCAGCACCAGCAGAGACGCCTCTTATAGACTCCAGCGTGACATTTGGGCGCGCCTTTTCTACAATATTTATGACATGTGATGAGACACGGTTCATAGACGCAGCCATGGAGCATGATGGTGTCACACCAACACAGGGTTTTATTTCACACGAGAACATGTCAGAGAACCATATTTGTCCCACTGTGGGGAAATGTCAGTGTTGCAGTGCACTAGGAACTAGTAAGACCACACAAGGAGCTCACAGAATATACAATGTTAGAATCTGCCATGCCTCATAACTCGCTGTAAAAATGCTTCATAAGAGCACGTGCCGATATATCTGTAAATATATAAAGTGTAAATTAAACATGGGAGCATAAGTGACAGTCTGAAATTGCAGTGTTTACTTTTTACAGTGAGATGACAGTAGTTATCATTGTACAGTCTGACAGCAGCAGGAATGAAAGACCTGTGGAACCTCTCCTTCTCACAGTGAAGGTAGATAAGTCTGTCACTGAAGCTGCTTTTTATAAGACTAATGTTTATTGTGTTGTCCCTAATCAAATAAATACATTCAATTCATTTCAACTTTGGCCTCAGGGAGCGTGTGTGAATGGCAACATGTTTTGTTTTTGTGTTTTTATTGAGAAAGTGAGAATTGGCAAGTCCTTTTACACATTTTAAGCTTTAGGCCCCAGAGACAGATGTGTTGAATGAATCTAATGTTTTGCATTCAAGGCCAAGGCCATGTCTTTTTGCACAGAGAAGCCGTCTTCCCGTGGACCCACCACCTGCAGGAGGATCAGCGAGGGACTGGTGCTGTGAGACTTGGGTGCAGCTCTGACTGTCACCCTGTAAATACATTTCTGTAAAATTACAATGAAATTAAATAAATGTTATTTTGAAAAACAATTCAAACATGCAAATTTATGTGTATTTGGTTAAAAAACATCCGGTGGCGTTTTATTACCACATTTATGATGTGATTACAAAAAAACTTTACAATACCATAAAATCATAATGTGATTACCGTAATTTGACATCAACTTGGAATGCTGGGAAATCTTTGCGAGCAACCGTGAGTGTGAGAGCTGCACACTCTGCTTTTGTTAAAATGATGCATTTGTTGTAGAAGTAAAGAATTCAACTATTGTCTTGTATAAACTGAAGATGTTAAAAAATAATTGAAAAGTTGTGTTCATTAAAGGAAAACAAAATTATACTGTAGTTTCTTGTTCAATGAAACTGATTAGAAACGGAAACAGTTGTATTGTGTAATAATACAACATTATCATTATAATAACTTTGTTACTTACGTGGCAATAAAAATTATTCTGATTCTGATAATGCTGTTTTTGAATTATCAGGAACAGTTAAATCCTGAAATCACAAAGTCATAATGTGATTCAGTGAAACACTCTTTAACCGTTAATATTAGCAACGGTAATGCCATGTTGAGAAAACGGTATTTCCCTGGAACCATGTTTGCCAGATTTTTACCGTTTTCCTACACGGACATTTTTTACAGTGCACCCCCCCGACCCAGAAATGGATCAACAAAGGGGTAGAAAATTACATGACATTTTGAATGAATTTCATTCTGTGCTCATGAATCATTGCTTATACCAATTAAACGTAAAAAGTTCATTTTGTCTTCTTCTGTTTAAGGCGTTGAAGGTTCTTCAAGAAAGTATGGATGGAGACGAGAGGAGATTGAAATCAAGAGGCAGGGCACACGGACCATGAACAGAGACGAGGGGGCTTTCACCTTGGCTCACACTTGGGACTCACTTCTCCAGAGACCACAGGGAGGAGGGGCGTGGTCAGGGGGGAGGGGCGTGGTCAGTCTGAGGGATCTGTGAGCTCAGTGTCAGCTCTGATGAAGTGTTCCGCTGCAGTACTAGCTTTCTTTACTTTCTGGTCTTATTAAAAGATTAAACCAATTTCACCCCATTTCACATTAGACACATGCACATAGCACAGGTGAAAATACTAATAATTACACATTTTTAAAAAAAGAGGTAAATGACAAATACCACAAGGGGAAGATCCATCCATCCCAATTCTAAAAACATAACAGCAAGTGGTTTTCTTTTATTATCTTTTTATGTATCTGTTTTTGTTTTTTGACAAATTATCTTAATTTGAAATGACTTTGGATTCAAAAACAACTACGTCAAATATCAAGAAGAGATGTATTTGAAGGCTAATAGTTAAATGTTAATAATAAATAAGTGTGCTGTCCATGTGACTCGGAAATGGGTAAAGCAGAAGAAAATCATGTCTATATTCTTAAATACTTAACATAATTGCAATTTATTTTTTTTACACACACTATATAAATGACCATAGACCGTATCACAATTCAAACACACGTTGATAGAAACATGACTTGACTTTTTGAGGTTGAGACGAAGTTTCTAAGCCGTTTCAAATTTAAGTTTAATTCCCTTAAAAGCCCTTTCAAAAGATTGGATATGACATTTGGGTCTTTTTGCACTAAAATGTCTGAAAAGGCTCAGGCCAAAGAGGCTAATAGAAGGAGAGTAGTCAGCGGTGCAATATTTATGAGCTAAAAGACAACATTTAGACAAGCTGCAGAAATGAAGGAAAACCTGTAGGGGCAAATGGAGCGTTCACTGCTGCCACTGCCGCTGCTGCTGCTGCTGCTGCTGCTGCTACTGCTGCTGCTGCTGCTGCTGCTGCTGCTGCTGCTGCTACTGCTACTGCTGTAGCTGATACTACTGCTGCTGCTGCTGCTGCTGCTGCTGATACTACTGTTGCTGCTACTACTGCTGCTACTGCTGCTGCTGCTGCTGCTGCTGCTGTTACAGGAAAACACATTAGGAAGAGACAAATTGAACTCGAGCTAATTGAGAACAAATGTAATCTCCTGTTTGTGGTCCTTTTATGTTCCAAATCTACAAAGGAAAACAAATTAAAACGGTGAATGGTGAAGAAAAATACAGAACTTGTTGTACTCTAAGCTGCTACTTTTTTACCGTTTCTGTCTGAATATTGTGGCCTACACGCAATGCCTGCAATGTATTTATTTTTAATGTGGTAGAGCGCCCCCTGGAGTTCAGAAGGGATTGGGGCACAGTTATAACAGATGTGGATCTCCAGAGCTGATGACGCACATTAGCACACATTCTTGCTTCTTGGGTGTTTATGTGAACAGCATCTATTAAGCCTATACTCGCGCGCGCGGCGCGTATGTGATGATCAGAGCAGAGTTTATGGACTTTATTACTTTGTGGCAGTGGGATAACCAGGCAGGAGACAGGCCCAATGTAGACCACTGGGGCTAGAGATCA